GGAATAGCCTTTATTCATTAAAAAACATTAAGTAACAATCATATAAGGAAAAGGATGAGCTTGTAGCCAGCTGTGTGCCAGAGTCTTCATGTGAACAGTTGACCTGATCTCCCGTGTATCAATCTGTTGAGCGAACAAGTTCCAGATGCGAGTAGACAGACTCTCTCTCTCTCTCTCTCTCTCTCTCTCTCTCTCTCTCTCTCTCTCTCTCTCTCTCTCTCTCTCTCTCTCTCTCTCTCTCTCTCTCTCTCTCTCTCTCTCTCTCTCTCTCTCTCTCTCTCTCTCTATCTATCTATCTATCTCTATCTATCTATCTATCTATCTATCTATCTATCTATCTATCTATCTATCTATCTATCTATCTATCTATCTATCTATCTATCTATCTATCTATATCTCTCTCTCTCTCTCTCTCTCTCTCTCTCTCTCTCTCTCTCTCTCTCTCTCTCTCTCTCTCTCTGTCTCTGTCTCTGTCTCTGTCTCTCTCTCTCTCTATCTCTCTCTCTCTCTCTCTCTCTCTCTCTCTCTCTCTCTCTCTCTCTCTCTCTCTCTCTCTCTCTCTCTCTCTCTCTCTCTCTCTCTCTCTCTTGATACTGAGGCCCCGTGGTGCCGGCATGGTCTCTGTTTACCTTTGTATGTTGGCGGCGCTTTGCCTCTAATCTGTTTGCCTTGCTGTGATGTTTACTGTCCAGGAAATCTCCACCTGGATCCTCTTCTAAGAGCGAGTGACTTTCATGATCTAAATGTATGGTATGCAACTGTGATTCCCCAACATCCTCAAAGGCTGGAGTTGATGGGAGTCGGTCGGCCGAGCGGACAGCACGCGGGACTTGTGATCCTGTGGTCCTGGGTTCGATCCCAGGCGCCGGCGAGAAACAATGGGCAGAGTTTCTTTCACCCTATGCCCCTGTTACCTAGCAGTAAATTAGGTACCTGGGTGTTGGTCAGCTGTCACGGGCTGCTTCCTGGGGGTGGAGGCCTGGTCGAGGACCGGGCCGCGGGGACACTAAAGCCCCGAAATCATCTCAAGATAACCTCAAGATCTCAAGAAGGAAGGCATCTTGAATGTTTGTAGGGGAGACGCTGTGTGCACCTCCAGCAGTCGCCAGGACGCTGACCCCTTCCCCCCAACTTACTTAGCTTTCTGGCTCGCCTTTTGTTGGCGCCTCATTCACCACCTCGCGACACCTCAACCTCGTTTCCTCACTTCTCCATCTTGTTATCTCTAATCTAGTTTTACTTGAAAGATCAGTAATCCTAATTACATTTTAATTACTCTATTTGTGGGACACTAAAAAAAAGGACTCAACAAACTCAATGTACATTTAAGAGAGCACTTTATTTACTAAACTCTTCGAAATTTACTAGTTAAATCATGAAATTTAAACTCATCAGTGCATGAATTCATGGACAAAAGAATTAATTAAAAGGGTGAATCCAACCACTCCACATTCCTCCACCAAACATGGCTTCCTGGCACAGACTACACTAAAACTCAGCAATTCACAACTGTCGTCAACTTCAGTGAGGTGGTGGCACTGCTCTTTACTACCACCAAGAACTAACATGCTTAAAAGAAATTAGAACTAGAGACTGCTATGGGGAGTATATCTTCGCCAGCTTCAGAGTCAAGGGTGCCGAGTCTGTCCTGTCTGTGGGTGCAGTTTATAGAATTCCTAACACTGATGTGTCCGAATTCAACTCAAACCTTAGAAATCTAATACTTGATAACAGACTGAACAAAAACCACCTAATTATCGCAGGGGACTTTAATATTGACCTCTGCAAGCCAGAACACCCTACTGCTGTTAGCTTCCTCAACTGTATGAATTCCTGCTTCCTCATACCCTTAATCACTAGACCTACTAGAATCACTGATAGCACTGCCACGACTCTAGATCACATCTGGACAAACATAACCTCTCTGCTTACTTCAGGTATAATCACCGATAGCACTACAGACCATTACCCCACATTTCTCTTAACTAACATTAGCAAACCACCTCTTGAGTCAAGAGAGATACGTTTTAGACTACACAATGAAACTGCTATAGACAATTTTATAACTGCTACTGATAATGTCAACTGGGAGTCCGAGTTAGGTAACATAGAGGACATCAACCTAGCAGTTCAATCTTTTCTTCAAAAAACTCTTAGCCTTTATAATACCCACTGTCCTATGCTTACAAAACAAGTCACAACCAAAAGGCTTAACAATCCCTGGCTTACAAAGGGAATACTTAAATCTATTAATAAAAAACATGACCTTGAGAAGAAGTATAGGTTAGGAATTGTCTCCAAAGAATTCTCAAAGAATTACTCATTATTGCTATCTAAGATAATTAGACGAACCAAAACTAAATACTACGTAGATAAATTTACCCAAATAAAGAGCAACATTAAACAAACTTGGAGAACAATTTCACAAATATTGGGATCAAAGAAGTCTATAAATAACAAACCGACTCTCCTGTCTAATAACGATGGTCAGCTTTCAGCCTCTGATTCTGCTATTGAGTTCAATAGGTTCTTCTCTTCCATTGGTTCATCCCTTGCTAATGATATTCCATCTTCCAGTACTGACATTAAGGACTATCTTACAGGTAACTATCCGAAGTCTCTGTACCTAAAGCCTATTAATTCCACTGACGTCAATGAGATAATCCTTTCCCTTAAAACCAAGTCTGGTGCCCTTGAGGAGATACCAACTTTAATCTACTCTCTTTAATTTTTAATTTAATTTAATCTTTAATTTTTGAAAAACTAATCTATAAGCAGCTTTACTCATATCTAGCCAAACTCAATATACTTAGCCCTTGCCAATATGGCTTCAGGCCCAAAAAAAGCACTAACGATGCACTTATTAGTATGCTTAACTCGATTCATACAGCTCTTGATAAAAATGAGTTCCCTGTTGGGTTATTTGTGGACCTGCATAAAGCTTTCGATACTGTCAACCACCAAAACCTTCTTCTTAAATTGCATCATTATGGTGTCAGAGGACACTCCCTACAATACCTTAAATCCTACCTTACTGACAGGCTCCAATGTGTTTCTGTGAATAATACAATTTCTCCCACCCTACCCATCAACATTGGTGTTCCCCAGGGCTGCATACTTGGCCCTCTCCTCTTTCTCATCTACATTAATGACCTTCCAAATGCCTCCCAACACCTCAAACCAATTCTATTTGCTGACGACACAACCTTCATTTACTCCAGTCCTGATCCCTTGCTCTAAATGCCACAGTAAATACTGAGCTTAATAAAGTCCATCTGTGGCTAACTGCCAACAAACTCACCCTTAACATTGACAAAACTTTCTATATTCTGTTTGGCAATAAATCCTCTAATCAAATAAATCTCAAAATAAACAGTACCCAAATTTGTAACAAATTAGATGGCAAATTCCTTGGCATTCTCATTGACCACAAGCTGAATTTCCAGGGACACATTCTAAACATATCAAAAAAAGTTTCAAAAACTGTGGGCATTCTTTCTAAGATCAGATATTATGTACCACGCCCTGCCCTGGTGACTCTCTATTACTCCCTTATCTATCCATATCTCAACTATGGTATTTGTGCTTGGGGCTCTACTACCCAAAATCACTTACGTCCTCTAATTACTCAACACAAAGCCGCTATTAGGACAATATCCAATTCTGGCCCCAGACATCACTCGGTACCCCTACTCAAATCTCTGAATATGTTAGACATTAAGTCACTGCACATTCTCTCATGTGTATTGTACATATATAAAACGCTAAACTATAATGCCAATCCTGATCTCAAAAGCTTCATAGAAGGTTGTAACAGAACCCATGAGCACCACACCAGAAATAAATACAGTTTTGATATTCCTAGAGTACGACTTAATCAAACCAGAAATGCTCTTCAAATCAAGGGGCCCAGAATGTGGAATGACCTTCCCAACCATGTTAAAGACTGTACCTCTCTCAACCAGTTTAAGTTAAAAACGAAGCTATACCTAATAAATTCCCTGTAACTCACCTTACCCCTCTGTTGTCAACCCATGTATGGTTTTTGTTTTTTTTGTCTTTCAAATCAACGCTGTTTGAATGTAATTTTCTGTAATAATTTGTAATTGTATTTGTGCTGCTTTTTCAACAATGTTCCCCCCTCTTTTACCTCTATTTTTACTTGTACTCAACACATCTTATTCTTTTTACCCATTAGTTTTAAGCTTTAGTCATTAATGTTTTTCCTGCCCGAAACGCTTTGCGTAATAGTGGCTTTAGGCATTGTATGTACTAGCTCTATCTATAAAGCCAACAAACTTTGTAAAATCTCTTTATGTATGTACCTTACCTAAATAAAAATTATTATTATATTATTATTATTATAACCATGGCTGGAACACACAGTCATACACAATACTTCAATACTCAAGCTAGAATAACACCATACTTGAGCGTTGCTCACATTAAAAAAAAATGGAAAATAATACATAAAATGTAATTGAGTTTTATTAGACAAGTATATTATTAATGTTGTACAAAGTCATTATACAAAAAACGTAGTTCGTTCTACAATTTAAAATAACAAAAATCCCAACATTCACTGGATATTCGAAGCTGACTGGTTTAAGGTTTACTCTCAAGGCCACAAACTGTAAGTTTAGTTTAGTTCATATGTCTGTCACCACACACCCACAAGGTGAGTGGTGGTGGGAATGGCTTACAGAGGCATAAGTTTAGAACCATATAATGGGTTCACAAACTGAAACCAAAAATTCGTTTCCCAAAGAAAGTTACAGCACTGATGAGCTAGTTGCATACTTTTGGAGATATTTAAATTATTTATATTATTAAATTATTTTTATAACAAAATATACTTATTCTAATTGAAATAGCTACCATTCGAGGGAAGGACAATGATGAAACACATTTGATTTCCTTATGTTTAACAAATACAAAGTTTTGTATGTTAAACAAATACAAAAATAAATCATAGAAGACATTACCATAAAGGAATTTATATTAGTAAGAAACTTTAAAAATGATTTGTAGTACTACCTCATAACTACTACTAGAACTTCAACTGGGTTTGGGACGCCGTCCCAAAATAGGCAACACGAAATGTGCCATTTGCTAAACGAATGACTTTGAACAATGGCAATTATAATATAACGAAGTAAACAATATATATATATATATATATATATATATATATATATATATATATATATATATATATATATATATATATATATATATTGAAAATTTTATAACTTGGGAATTGTGGGTAACTGAGATAGCATGAGAGTTAGGGGAACTGAATTCATAGATTTGAAAAGTATCGGTCATTTTGGTCAATAATGACCGATACTTTTTACAGAGTAGCTGCGTAACAGAGCCGGGATCTATTAGGAAGGTATAGGGGCATCCACGTAGAAAGGATCAGCACCTGCAGCCACCACCAGACACGCTCCATTACGACCCTCCTCCAAGAGCTTCACCAGGGCCTCTGCCACAGTCTCCGCCCTATAAAAGTCACAAATTATATTAGTGTTAATTCAATACAATTACTGTCTTTATAATGCACCCCATACCCATCCTGTGGGCGGTGATGGAAAGGGTTACAGAGGCACACAATGTGTTCAGGAACTGAACCCCATAGTTCATTCAGCTAAGCAAGTGGCATCTTTTGGAGCTAGTTTTACACAATAGTTAATGTTACATACACATGTACATATATATACAATCATTTACACAGATACATACATACATACATACATACATATCAATAATCATTTTAAATCAAAAGTAGCCTCAATAAATCGACCCAAAAAACTTATATGTGTTTTTATCAAATGAACTCTACGATAGGAGGTCTGCTCGTACAATATTTTGTTCTTCAAATACTTTAAAATAAATCTGTAAAAAACTATTTTACCGATTGAAAATGATCACATAAATTAATCTTCGTTTGTCGCGTAACTTAATGTACGTTCATAGGTGGCCACATATAATAAGGGTTTTCAAATCTATCTAAATTTATTGTTTGAAGCGAGTTAATATATTGAATCAAAATATTTTATTTAAAAAAGAAAAATAAGTGTGAAACAATGAGTTAGGAATTTAAATAATTTTTTAAATTTTTAGATAGGGTAAGTGGAGGAAGGTTTGTGCCCGAGATTTCATTGTCTCCACCTCGACGAGTTTTCCCCATTTAGTCTACTACCATACATACCAAAACGAAATCCGGTAAGGCCACTAAGAGAGACAGCACAACTCTCAGGAATAACCCAGCTAGCTAGGCTAACAACTGGACTAGTGCTGCTGTCTTCCCTTGGTGGCCGCCTGGGGGGGGGGGGGGTCCGTCTCTTCATTCGACAACAACACACCATCCCAGCTGGGTGCCGTGACGTCATCAACGTGTCCGACACGGGCCATGCTACAATTAAACACCTATAACACCTTAACACATGGAACCCCTTAAACGAGCTGCCGCCCCTTGTCCCGACATCAAGCCCTTCGCTTCGCTGATAACCCATGGTTAAAGTTATTAGCGATGATACTTGAAGGCCAAATAAATGTCAGTAATCGAAGAGCAGTCGACCATAATAACGAGCCTACAAGCCGAAGTTGAAGCCAGACTTAAGGAAAATCAAGATCTGTCTTCCAGAGTCGGCCTCCATGAACTGGATTTAAGCTCTTTTAAGGACACAGTTACAAAAATAAAACCCGCAGAAATCACTAGAAAACAGGAAGAAATGTTACAAAAGTTTGAGAATCATTTTAACACTACAGCAGCAACTCACCGTTTCTCAAGACGAATCTCACCAACAAAAGCTCCATGATTCTGTCATTATCTCCTCACATAATTTTCCCCAAGAAACTGACGGAGAGGACTGATGCTACCATCGTGATCCAGGTATTACACGATAAGATGAATTATGAAATTGCAGCAAGAGACATCAAAGCAGCATATAGAGTGGGTACCAAGTCATCTGGTGTAAATAACAGAAGAATTCGTGGGAAACTAGATAGCTGTTCGCGCAAATCAGAACTTATCAGAGTCGCAGTGTCTAGAAAAATCTCTGTTTATGTGAATGAATGTTTGACCAGGAACAGACAAAATCTCCTTTTTTAAACAGCGTGAAGTCCATAAAAATTCCAATGGGTCAATTAAACATTGTTTTGTAAGAGGTGGTAGAATACTAGCTAAGAAGTCTGACACTGGAAAAACCTATGAAATAACCATTGAGGCACACCAGAGATCTTTCTTCACTGACTATGGGTTTCCAGCTCAATAACCAGATGCCAAGTGAACCCTATCTCTGAGGTCCCCTCTACCACAGAACCCTCTCAACCCCAGAGTGTATATTATAATTTTATGCAACTTATAGTTTTATCTAACATCTAAAGTATATTATAGCTCTGCCTTTCCATTCAAAAAGGTTTGCATTGTTTTTCTTTTCCTGTTTATCTCACCATTTTATATTGTTAATTTCCAAATTGATCACTTACTGTAATGTTATTTGCTATTACTTTTATTCCATTTGCACAATTTAAATGTTTAATATTGCTTATTATCATTCAAAATTTTATTATAATTTGTAAAAACTGATTTACTGTAAATTGTAAAAACTATAACAACTAGATATACAATAGATTTAGTATTTTACTGTTCTGTAATCGCTTTGTTTATTGTATATTGACTCCATTGTGGTATAGTCTCCGTAGCATAATGCTAAGACGCTCACCTGGCATTCCGCGAGCGCTTTACCCTGGGTTCGTATCCTGGCCGGGGAGGATTTACTGGGCGCAAATCCTTAACTGTAGCCTCTGTTTAACTCAACAGTAAAATGGGTACTTGGTTGTAAAAACGATTCTTCGCGGGGGTCGTATCCCAGGGAACATAGGATTAGGGACTTGCCCGAAACGCTATGCATACTAGTGGCTGTACAAGTATGTAAGAACTCTTGTATATATAAATAAATAAATAAACAAAATTGTATCTGCATGTAATCTGATATTGACCCTGAACTAAATCTGCTATCACAGATCTTCAGTAACCAGCATATTGATCATCACTACTGCAAGCATTTCACAGCAAACCTTGCAACAAACAAACTCCAAAATAACACTGGCCTATCACTATAGCACTTCGGGCGCCTGACAGCTAACTGCACAGCGCTCCGGATTCGTAGTCCTGAAGTTCCGGGTTCGATCCCCGGTGGAGGTGGAGACAAATGGGCAAAATGTTTCTTTCACCCTGATACCCCTGTTACCTAGCAGTAAATTAGGTACCTAGGAGTTAGATAGCTGCTACGGGCTGCTTCCTGGGGGAGGGGGTGAGTAACCAAAACGAGGCCGGGTCGAGGACCGGGCCGCGGGGACGCTAAGCCCCGAAATCTTCTCAAGATAACCTCAAGAGATATCAGTTTTCAACCAAAATGTCAGATCACTAGTTAACATTTTGGTGATATAAATGCACTATTCACAGCACTAGGTACCAAACTATAGTTCATTATTTTAACAGAAAAGAGGCTAAGTCAAGACCATACCCAACTATACAATTTAGCCGGTAATAAAGTCATTCACAACTGTAGGCCAAATAAAAAAGAAGGTGGCACAGCTACATATTACCATAATACCTTCATATGCAATAGTGACTTAGTGATAGAGAAGACTTCTGTGAATATACCTTTGCTCAATTCTCGATTTAAATCCTTAAATCCCCCTTGACTATTGAAGCTATAGATTTTTCAATACTAATATAACTGAATTCTCAGATAACTAAGAAATCTTATCATAAACAAAAAGTTCAACATAAATCATATCATTCTAGGTGACTTCAATATTGACTTGTGTCAACAAAATAACGCTCAATTCGATTATTTCCTAAACAGCATGAACTCCTGTATGCTAATCCCCACAATCACTAAGCATACCCGAATCATACAAACATCTGCTACTACCTTGGATCACTTATGGACTACATAACAGCTTCCCTTCCATCTGGTATAATCACTGACAGAACAACTGACCGTTATCATACCTCCCTCATAGCAAACATGAACATAACACCACCAGACACAAAGAAACTTACCTTCAGGTTACACAGTGAAGCAGCAATAGGCAACCTCCCAAATGCATTTCACAATAATAACTGGGAGTCTGAATTTAATAATACACAGGATAAAATTCATTAGCCAACATCTTCCATTCCAAAACTCTAAGCTTCTACAACACTCTCTCACTCACCTCTCCTTACCAAGCAAGTAACTGTCAAAAGATTAAACAATCCGTGGCTCACAAGTGGCATACTCAAATTAATCAACAAGAAACATGAATATGAAAAAAAAATTAGGATTGGCTTAGTTACAAAAGAAATAGTTAAGAGATACTCATCAATGCTTACCAGTATAATAAGACGAGCAAAACTTTCCTATTATGAGAGTAGATTCAAAGAAGCAAAAGGAAACATGATAAGTACATGGAAAGCCATCTCTAACATCTTAGAATCTTAACAGCAATCATATAGCAAACAGATAAAACTCTCTAAAGACGGTTATACACCTGCAACAGATTTAGAAACGGCATCAGGATTTAATAGCTTCTTTTCATCAGTTGGTGCTAACCTAGATATAAATATCCCACAGACACAGACACAGACACATGTTACTACATATCTTTCAGGCAGCTATCCAAACTATCTTCTCGTTTTACTAGTCAGCCCGACAGATGTTATGTCCATCATTAACTCCCTAAAAACCAAAGCTGGCAACATTAGTGAAATACCATCTATGGTATACAAGAGTGCCGCCAATGCCCTTGTACCATCCATTGTTCTACTCTTCAAGAAATTTCTAGAGTGTCATACATTCCCTGATGTCCTTAAAAAAGCACGAGTAACGCCAGTTCATAAAGGAGGCAATGCGGGAGACTTAAACAATTACAGACCCATATCAAATCTTTCTATATTATAAAAAATATTTGAAAAAATTATTTATAAACAGCTCTACGCCTATCTCGTAAACTTCAACTTACTAAGTCCCTGTCAGTTTGGCTTCCGATCCCAAAAGAGTACCAACGATGCACTTACTATTCTGAATGATATAATCTACTCAGCCCTTGACAAAAAAGAGTTCCCATTTGGACTCTTCATTGATCTGAGAAAGGTCTTTGATACTGTTAACCATAACTACCTCTTACTCTAACTTCACCATTACGGAATCCGAGGCCTTGCCCTGAACTATATTCGATCTTATCTTGGTGACAATCATCAATATGTAGCCATTAATGACATAACCTCCCCCACTCTACCATTAACTGTAGGGGTGCCGCAGGGCAGCATCGTAGGATATCTCCTATTTTTTATGTATGCATCAGTGATCTGCCTAATGTCTCTAACATTCTTAAATCTATATTATTTGCTGACGATACTACCCTCATCTACTCAGTCCCCAACCCACACATTAAAAGTTTTGGTAAATAATTCATTAAAAAATCCACTTATGGATGTCAACCAACAAACTCACACTAAACATAGAAAAGACCTACTACATCTTATTTGGAAGCAAATCAACAAATGCAATCCAGCTTCACATAGACAATGTTAACATCAGCAATAAAAATGATGGAAAGTTCCTTGGCCTATGCTTAGACAAGAGACTCAACTTCAGTACCAACATAGTCAAAAAAGTCTAAAAAATTGTTGGTATACTTTCTAAAAACAGATATTAAGTTCCAAACTCTGCTCTCCTCTCACAATACTACACGCTAATCTATCCCTATCTTATGTATAGTATCTGTGCATGGGATTCAACCACTTCAAACTACCTCAAGCCCATCATCACCCAGCAAAAATTTGCTATCAGAACAATAACAAACTCGCCTTTCAGACAACACTCAGCTCCCTATTTAAATCCCTAAACATGCTAAACATAAACTCTCTCCGCACATTCTCTTGTGCCCTTTACATTTACAAAACCCTGTTCCTAAATGCAAACCCTGTTCTTAAACTCTTTCTGGACAGATGTAACAGAACCCATAATCACCACACCAGAAATAAATATATCTTTGGAATCCCCAGAGTCAAACTTAATCTGTGTAAACACTCAATGCAAATAAAGAGACCTAGTCTATGGAACTCACTCCCTAATGAATTGAAAAACTGTCCAACTTTTACCTTATTCAAAAATAAAACCAAAAAGTACCTAATTTCATCTTCAGTTTCCTACCTAGTGCTTTAAACTCGCACTGTATCTTGTGCTACCACCAGTATATGTACCTAAGCCATAAAACCTCACCATTGTAATCATTGCTATCATCTTATATTGTGGTTGTTATCCTGAACGCATATTTTACTACATTGTACCTTATAATCCACAAATTATGCTACAATGTACCTATTATTAACTCTCAAATTCTACTTTATTATACCTACTAATCTTTGTCAAATTTTCTTACATTGTACCTGTTAAAAAAAATTCAATTTTGCTAGAAATTACCTACTTAAAATTATCTGTTAGATTAAGAACCTGCCCGAAACGCTATGCGTGTTAGTGACTTTCCAAGAATGTATAAATATCAATACTTTGTACTCTCATAAACCCAATGTACCTTCTTGAATATAAGTAAATAAATGAATAAATAATATCTTAAATTTAAAAAATAGTAAATGGTCAAATAAATACAACTAACATTTTTAAGCGCAGAACTACTGGTTCTACTAACAAACCTAGCACTAATTAGCTGAGAGGGACTTGGTTAAGGCAGTTAAGGTATATGGGAGGGGGGAGGGGGGGACCAGAGCAAAATAGGAATAAACGTAGAATCAATCAGAAACAATCAAAAGAAAACATTGCAAAACTGAAATGCCCAAAATGACCCTTGATTAAGTCCTAGCCAAGTTGACATACACCAAAACTTGAGCTCGTCTTGCAAGTGAGGAATATCAGTTGCAAGACGTTAACACTAGGTTTGTTAACTGAGCTGAAGACCTCGCATAAAACAATATAAAAGTCTTTTTCTTTTTTTACAAAGACAATATATGAAGATTTACAAAAGAAAACAAATGCCATGATACTCACGACATATCTTTAATTGAGGCGGCTAAGTTGGCCATGGCGGTGGCGACCTCTGGAGAGAAAGCATTCTTCATTGAGTTGGTGAGAAGGTCGGTCTTCACTAGACTGGGGCAGAGCGCCTGCACCTTCACCCCGCTGTACTTCAGGTGGAACTCAGACTGTGGACACCAAACACTTTCTGTTATATTTTTATACATATCGTAAAAGAAATTACTTATGTAAAAAAAAAGAGATATCTCACTAAAGATGTACCTGATGATTGTACCATTTTTCTGTCTGGTTCATAGCGATAATTTCAAAGTGGGTCAAACGGTTCCTCTGCGAACTTGAAACGGTTGTCTTCATGTAACGCAGTGTACCGTATTGCTTTTGGGTGGAGTACTTTCGTCATGGCTGATTTTGGAACTAATTTTTACCGACGTGACAGTGGTTGCAAATTTAACGTTCACATTCTTTTGTAGTAGACATGGTTGATTTTGCAAGCTTGATAGCTTGAACCACAAGCTGAATTTTGAGATTTTTGTAGTTTTTCAAGTTGTTACCAATTATAAATGTAGCATATATACTTTTGTATGATACAATCTTAAACCATACAACATTTATTTATCTGTGCATTTGAATTGGCCGTGGGGAGCTAATGATGAATTGTATTTTGAATGGGGGGGGGGGGGGGGGGGGTGGTTGTTTTAATTTTTTAAAAATTTTTTTTAATAAAATGGTGTAAATTCAGCACATTACTGCTGGGAGGCAAAGTATTCTACCTCCACCTGAGAGGACGACTGCACAGAACCCTCAAGCTGGCATTAGTATCACTTTCCTGCATGACATTGTTTCCCCTGATGCGATTTGTGCAAAAATATAGTACAAGTTACTCGAAACAATTTTCCTTTTGTATGGTTGGCCAAACAAACCGTGTTTGGTTTGGCAGAATAATATGTTAAGAGTGTACAACCCAATTTCATTTCTGACGATGGCTGTGGCCAGTGTCGTGGTGAAGTTGGTAAGACACTCACCTGGCATTTTGCGAGCACTTTGTCCTGGGTTTGAATCCTGGCTGGGGAGGACTTACTGGGCGTCAATCTGTTTACTGTAGCTGTAGCCTCTGTTTACCCAACAGTAAAATGGGTACCTAGTTGTTAAACGATTTGGGGGGTCGTATTCTGGGGAACAAAGGGTTAAGGACTTGCCCGAAATGCTACATGTGATAGTAGCTGTACAAGAATGTAAGAACTCTTGCATATATATATATAAATAGAAAAAATAAAAGTAGACTATAAAAATTGTCACTATTGATAAATCATAAAATTTTGGCTAAATAAATCTATTTAAGGATAAATTTAAACACAACGTGTGAACTTGACAGAAAACAGTATCCATCTTTGAACAAATCCACAAGGGCCGTGACGAGGATTCGAACCTACGTCCTGCAGATCCTGCAGCCTCCTGGAGAGGCTGCAGGATCCAGTAAGTTCAGTAGAACTTTGGTTTCAACTCCTTTTACCATGACGTAGCTCAGTCGATTAAGGCAGCGTCTGGCCAACGATGCTCTCGGACGCAGGTTCGAATCCTCGTCACGGCCCTTGTGGATTTGTTCATTTGATGCATCACGCAATTGTGATTTCTGTGTGTAGTGTAATATCCATCTTTGCTTCATAAATATATTTGAGATGTAATAACATTCAAGCTCATACATAAAGCACTTGGGAGAGATTCCAGAGGAGCTGGCAATGAAAGGTTATCCTGTGAAATTGTTATTAACTTCTGGCTGAATTGATTTTATTGCTATTCCAATGTGATTTTTTTCTATTGACAACTTGGTTAACTTTTACGACCCCTCGTGAGAGGTGTGCCGGAGATGGGATGTATATCTCTAGGGTGAGGGTGGTAGCCAGGGCCAAGGCAGCAGAGAATAAACTGTTAGACGATAGTGGTCTGGGTGTGTGCTTGTAGGGAGGCAATTGTAAACATGATAACAAGGTAGGGGAAGTAAATGAAAAAGTTACCATTGCCAAATATAACTGCTACAAAATGTTTGAAAGCCACGATTAATAGGAATCTTAAGCCAAAAAGTCAATGTATTAATGTTTGAAATAAGGCAAATAGGATATTGGGTAGTAATCTAAGTGTTAGCAGCAAGACATCTAAACAAGAGATATACACCGAAAGGTGTACCTCGCTTCTCTGTGTATACATTGAAAGTTTACCGTAGTCTTGGGCTATGTTCAGGACTAAAGTTTACTGTATACTTGTCTGTTCGTCAGTAAACTATTGTGCTAGCCAAAATAACATTCCCGCATTGATAGGCTTTAAGCCCAACACCAAACCAACATGTTATTTTATTTTTCAAGTTTATTTTGCCTCTTAGGCCCTATTTAAATTATACGGTTCAGTTTTGGCTACCGTATTATAAAATGGACATTTTGCATACGAAATATTTCATACTTTAATTCATTTAAACGTTTACAGAGAAGGATAACCCAGTTAATCCCGTGAATTAGAATGACATATTTAGGGATATATGGGATAAAAGCATATACGGGCATATACATATCCCTGAGTAAGGGATATTAATAAAGTGTTAAATTTATCAAAATAGAATATAACATGAAATATTGGATACAAATTGGGTAATTTTAGATTCAGAGAAGGCAGGTAAACACCGATTTGGGTTTAAATATGCGTAACTATTTTTTTGTTCCTGGGTAGCAAGTGCTATTTTCTGATTCATTATGCCTCCGAAGTATAGAAAAAATTTATTATTCCCCTTAAAATTTGCTTCAGACAGCTTAAGGAATACGTCTTGAAGGTGCCTGAAGACTGCCAACTCATGAAACAATGTGTCACGGCTCTAAATATGGAGTCGGCGGCCGTCAAGTACCTTCAAGAAGTCTTCCTTAAGACAGGCCATCCCCCTGTTGTGGTAGTACTTATAGCATTGATGAGAAACATAGTACATATACCGACGTTCAACGAAAGTAGAAATCAGTTCAAACTGGATTTGGACAAACTGGAAAATGATTTTCTACTTACGTTGCAAAGACAAACTAAACTAAAAACCTCCATAGGCATAATACATGCTATCTGAGGCCTAATATAGTAAATATATGTGTGTTGTTAAATATGACCGAAAAAGTGAGATTAATAATTCTAACACGAATTTTCTCAATATTTCTTATGTGTCTTTTTACTGTCGATGGTAATTGAAAAATCAATTCTCCAAAATTCATTTTTATTTCTAGTCTGACGCGACGCTGTTTGAACACCACTTGTGTTCCTTTTTGGAGCCCTGTTGCTTATGCAACAGGGCTCCATAAAGGAACACATAATCTCCTCTCACAACCAGACCATCACCAGAGAAGTCTTAACAGACAACACAGAAATCATCGATAGGTATAGCGATAGCAGGCGGCTCGACATTTGCGAGGCACTACACGTCAAAAAGTCAACACCAGCAATTAACAGCCAATTAATGCACAACTATATTCTACCCACTTCAAGACTCCGAATCAATATAGAAGCATCAAGAGGAAGTATGGGCCAATAGGCCCTCTGCAGTTACTTCCATCCAATTAATACCCATTGTTTTGTGTTCTGTCTTCCATTTGTCACAAATTTGTTCCCCTCATCCAAAACTGTTGCACCATATCACCGCACCCAAGTGCGAGTATATGTAAGACGGATAAGCTGTTTAGTGTTAGTATATGTAAAACTCTGTTTAGTGTTTTCAGGTTACAGTTGTGTGTGTAAACTAAAGTCTTTGAAAATGTAATAAGTTATTACGAAACGCGTTCAAGCGTCGCGTCAGACTAGAAATAAAAATGAATTTTGGAGAATTGATTTTCAATTACCATCGACAGTAAAAAGAAACATAAGAAATATTGAGAAAATTCGTGTTAGAATTATTAATCTCACTTTTTCAGTCATATTTAACAACATATGTTTAAAAGAAAGACTGCTACCAAAGTATACTAAATATATGTGTTATATACTAGGCCTAGGAATATTTTTTTTTTTTTAGCTTCATTTTTTCGGACTATAAATGAATAGTACAAAGTTCTACTAACTCATTGCTTAGTACATCAATGTTTGTACTATGGTGCACATATTTACAAAAACTAGTATCTAAACAGGAGGATCGGTTGCCTTAAGCTGCCTGAAGCAAAAATCAAGCAAATTTTAAGGGGGAATAATAACCATTTTAAATTCTTTGGTGGCATAATCAATCATAAAATAATACTTACTACTCAGGGACAATAATTGTTACCTGGTAATTTTTCTGTAATTTCACAATGTAACATAATCAATGTGGGATTGCTAGACTTTCAGACATAAGTTAGACACATACGGAAGAGTTTTGTTTTATATAAATAGGAGCTGCCTCATATGGGCCAAAATCCTTCTGCAGTTGCCTTTATTTCATGCTCTTGCTTATAACGGCTGGACATCACAAAAGTCCTCACTACGGGGAGAGTCATGGTTAAGGCTAAGAGAAAGAGGAAATGGAGGCAGCTTTCAGACGACGAGGAACGGTGGACCGAGGTGCAGCAGACACCGAAGAACACTGCTATCGAGGCTTCACCACTTGCTTCTACCAGCAAGACAGCAGACGTAATGGACGTAGAGAGGACAGCATCAGTCTCACACCTGCCAGTGTCAGACAATGCTTCTCTGTCCACAACCCAGCCACAAGACGACAGTATGAGACAGGAGAGGACACCACCAGTCTCACACCAGACATCACCAGACTCTGCACATCTTCCAAAATTCAAGATAATGCAGACAGATCACTTTCCTACAGCATATGGAGTAGTAACGGCGATGGAAAAAGAACAACCAGAGCTCAAACTTTCCATTACAGTCAACCTGAAGGGAGAAATAATAATAACACCACAAGACCAACTGACTGCAAATTATTTAGATAAAGTAAGAGTCCTGTAAAGGAAACCTGTATGCTTGGAAAAGTTGGACCCTTCAGAAAGACGCACACGAGTCGTGCTTTTGGGATACCCAATCGACTTTTCCCTGGATCCAGTACTAAAACACAAGCAAATCCTGAATGCGGAACGATGCCGCACAAAAGTAGACAAGGCAGCGACACGTCAGGTTCTGGTGACCGTCATGGGACATGTGCCAGAAACATTCAGTCTTGGAAATTGGG